AGCTACATTGCTGAGAGACAATACCTCATCTTTTTCATGCACAGTTTGCGTTATTAGTCATTCTCTGACCACAGGACGCTGCTGGCTGGATATTTTTGGTTGGTGGACCATTATCAACTCAGCAGCGACTTTACATTGAAAAATATGTAAAAATTCCAGCAGCGCTGCTGCTCATAGCACCACAATACCACCAGCACGGTGGTGTTACTGCTGTGCTGAGAGCAGCAGTGGTTCTATGGTGGGCCTTTTTTTCATTGATGAATGGAGGAGAGGGAGGTGGACAAACTGTGCAGCAACAGTTGGCTACAATCAGTTATTGTGTGCTTACAAAGAGCACCTATTGTGTATGGTAGGCTACCTGAGAAAATGGCCAATGAATGTAGATACAAGGTAGGTGTACCTAATAAACTAGCTTGGATCATACCTTCAGAATAAAGTTGTGGTATGAGAAATGACCAGATTGGAGAGAACTCTGAGAACTTTTGAGCAGTTTCTGCTTTTGAAAAAAGGCCAGACCCCCTGTTGATGAGCAGAGGCAGGACTGAGAGAGAACTGAGGAACAGGGGGGAGATGGGGCAGTGGGGAGGTGCGAAAACTTCATCAATTGAAATGGAAGGTAGAGATGGAAATTTGTGGGATGCTAGATTGGGAGGAGGTGGAGGTTTAGGCATGATCATCCACCCAAACTTTAGTTATTTCAAACTTCCATCATAGACAATTATAGAAACTATCACCAGTATTTGTTGTGGTAGCTTCATAAACTGAAACCATCTTGAACTATTGTTCCCATGAGCGCTCACTGATAGGAAGCAGTAAGATAAAAACTGTCTGTGTGGCTTTGAGTCAGTCTAGAGAGGAGCTCCTCCAATATAACTCTCTGTCGCACTCTTCTCGGCCTCCACGGCAGAGCTGACCACCACCGGCGCTTTGATAATAGCCTCTTTGTCCTCCTTTCCTGCTCACTGCAGGAGAGATAGTGCGGAGAAAGAGAGAGAGACAGGCTCATTCTATACGTGTGTATGGAGGAGGAAAACTGTAAAGGAAAGTGTGTGTGTGTGTGTGTGTGTGTGTGTGTGTGTGTGTGTGTGTGTGTGTGTGTGTGTGTGTGTGTGAGACAGTCATTGAGATAGATGAGGAGAACGATTGAATAGAGTTTAGAGATGTGTCTGAGAGAGTGAGTGAGTGAGTGGGCGGAGGTGCGCTTGTGTAACCGCATTTCCAAGTACAGTGAAATAGAAATGTAAAAAATGGATAAAAGAATTTTTTGTCTCAAGCGCCGTCTCTCCCAGACAACGAAAGTGAGCAGAGATTTGGAACCAAGAGTCCTCAAGGAAAGAAAAGTCAAGACTGCATTAAAAAAAAATAAAATTATTATAACGAAAAAATAAAAATAACCCTGGAGCAGATAGAGGCACTTCACAATCTGCTCACCTTCTTTATCAGTCTCCCTATCGCTCCTCTGTCTCTCTTTCTCTCTTTCCATCTTCCTCCTGTTCTCCCCTTTATCTCTGTCTGTTTGTCTGATAACTCCTCCGAGATGGGAGACTGTCTCCTTCCATTATACCATACCTTTATCCCTCGCTCTATATCTCGCTCTCATCCCATCCTGTCTCTCAAGCAACCTGCAGATACCTTTCAAAGGACCTTCACGCAACCGTTTGTCCGGCTGGTGCACAGGTCAACTCCATCTGTGGCCTGCCGGACGCACAGCTCAGCTGCTGTGAAAGGGTCGGGTCAGCACAAACGTCATGAAAAGTGCAGAGTCACTCGCTCCATCACATCTCGAGACAGCTGTCAGCATGCAGCCATCAGAGAGTCTGGGCTAAACGACAGAAGGAGGTTAAAACTTCGATCAGGACTTGCTGCACCCAGCAGTGTATTTTATGGTACCTCAATCAAAGAAAGACTTAAACTCAAAGTGAAAGTAACATCTATTAGACTAACTGAGGTAGAACTATCTATATGTGCACTATGTCCAGAAGTTTTGCTTATCCCATTTTTTTCTGAAATCAAAGGTATAAATAGGGAGTTTGCTGCTGTAGTAACAGCCACTACACTCGATCATCTAAGAATCCAGACCTTGAATTCAGTTTCTGGTTGTGGATTTTGTGATCACTGGTAGGTTTGACACTAGTTGGCCAACAGTTTGATTTACAGTGATTGAAAACTGGATTTGGAGACTCTTGCACTGGATGTTGGAACATTGCTGTGAGGATTTGATTGCATTCAGCCCCTAGAGCATTGGTGAGGTCAGGTGCTGATGTTGGATGATTAGTTCTGGATCAACACCTCCACTCCAACTCATCCTAAAGGAGCTCTGGATGGAGCTCTGTCACTCCAGAGAATGGCTGTGTTAGCACCTTAAAGCAGCTAAATTCACTAATTGGAGGTGGGGGTTGGATACATTTAGACATACAGTGTATGTTAAACATGGTCTCTGTTTCTTGCTTTTTCCTAAAGCAGGATTTCTCCAGTAGTTGAGAGAACAAAAGAGAAGATTCTAGAACTGCAATACTCCCATCTCCCATAGGACAGTTTACGATTTGATACGTAGTCCCTCATAGGACTATGTTGTTTCTTGGCCAGCTGTGTGTTATTGTACCATTAGTTGGAGCTGATTCCAGATGTAGCATTTGCATCTGGAGTCTGTTGCAGCTGTCTCTCAACATGAGGTCCAAAGGAGTGTCAGTATCAATAAAGCACACCACAGTGAGGCCAGAAAATCTAAATAAATCGATCATAGCAAAATACTAGGCATCTCAAAATCATCTATTTAGTACACTGTTAAGAAGTAAGAATGCACTGGTGGGTTTTATCAACAGCAGAAGATCCAACAGACCACAGAACACAGCAACAGACTTTCAAAGAAAGAACTTTTCACCTGATCAAGAGCACTCTCAAAAACGCATCCAAGGGTGCATCAAAGACAAGAGAAGAACACAACTGAATGACCTCAGAGTACTCCCCACAAAAGAGAACTGAAAGGTCAGATTAAAGTTTGCTAAAAAGTACACAAAAAGCCCGTAGAGTGCCAGACAAGGATGAAAAGATGACAGTATCCCCATCATCTGCTAAACAGTAAGTGAAATGTATGCTCAGTGTGGTTGAGGTCAGTGAGTTTGCTGCCAGCGGAAATGGTTCAATTGTCTTTACTGATCTTGTAACTGCTGGTGAAATCTGACATGTACAAAGGAATCATAACTTCTCAGATTCAACCAAATGCCTCAAATCTGGACTGGGATTCAACTTGCCTCAGGCAAATGACTGCAAACATACTACACAACTACAGGTTCCCACCTCTGGTCCTGGCACATTTTGGTGTTTATGCCAGTTCTAAAAAACACAGTGCAAAAGCTTGTTAATTAGCTGATTAGTTGGATCAGGTGTGTTGGAAACAGGGACAATACTAAAATGTGCAGAACAAGGGGTTCTCAACGTTGAGAAACACACAGTTTCCTGGACCAAGAAGTGTCTTGATTAACCAAGTCAGTCAACTAGCCTGAACCCCAGTGGGCAAACATTTCTCTTCCTGAAGACAAGACTGAATGAAAAGCCCTAGAACAATTAGGAAATTATCAGGGTTACATTACAGGCTTAGCAGAGGGAGGGCAATGTCTCAGCATTCGCTGATGTGTGGGTTGCAGACTACCAGAAGTTACCAATAAGTACTAAATATGTCAGTTTCAGTTGGGACTATTTATCCAGTTCCTCATGATCTCCAGGAATGTGGGCACTATGTATAAAAAGGAATGTGATTCCAACATGGCTATATGTAAATACTTTTAAGTTAAAGTTGATGTTCTGCACTTCAGCTGAACTGCTTGATTTAAATCTGATCTGCTGGAGTCAAACCAAGAAGAAATGTGCCGCTGTCCAATTACTTACGTGTGACACTACATGTTCAATAGCCATTTTTGTGCAGACCACAATTCTTCAACTTTCTCTTTGCAATATTAATATTCACAAGATCACTTGCCGTAAAACTGCATCGTTCGAAACCTTGGACTGTCTGACACCTGAACAAGTGCAGCAGCTTGCTGAATGATGGACTCAATTAGCCAGTTAGGATTGCTGGTGCTAAAAGATTGATGAGACATTGCACAAAACGCATGCAACAGTCGCTATTGAGCTAAGAAAATCTTGCTTTTGGAAATGCCTTCCAGGGTTTTAAAGTAAATAACAGAAATAAATAAAAAAAAAAATAGAAAGAAATAAAGATGACAGCAATAACCTGAACAATAGCCATGCCTCTGTGAGACACAGTAATGGCAATTTAGGAAATGTACTTTCCTCTAAACAATCACAAAGCTTTTACAGTTACTATCTCAGTGTTATTGCAATAGATTGTGCTGTGCAGTCATTACTTAAAAATATATAGAACTAAGGCTGAGATAGAAGCAACTGCTTTTAATAGGTTTTGTGTGTGTTAAGGAACAAGATGGACATACTGCAGTGAATAATGCTTTCATTTTGGAGCCACTACACTTTTAAGATGGAACTTTCCTGAATAAACTCTGAAATTTCATTTGGAATGAAAGAGTGACCTCTTGTGGTCAGTAAAGGAAGTACCAGGATTGTCTTGTTGAGACACATTGCCTCTGAGAGCTTCCAGGAAGAAGGTTCTGTTGTCAGCACTGAACATGGCTCTGAGGTTATCTGTAAGCAAATAAGTAAGTAAGGAAGGCAGGAAGTAAGGCAGGCTGGTAGGCTGATAGTAGTAGTAACAACAATGACTACTATGATTTCATTTCTAACGATGGGTCAGCTGAAATATGATCCAGCTCATATGGACTAATGAGAAGGACAAAAACGTTTGATAATAAATATGTCAGAACCACCCACAAAAAGCATTCTGCAACACTTAAATGGGCAAATGGGCTACAACTACGCACCAAATTGAGAGTTAATTACAATGAGCTCCTGAGATTTGGGATAGACGTTCAACCCTAACGTAATGCAGGAGCAAAGACAAAGAATTAAGTAAGAAAGAACAAAGGCAATTTTGTAGAAACCACTTTAAGCCTTTATTGGAATGTTTTAGGCATTGCATTTACAAATCCAAACCTGCTGTAGTTTGATGTTCAATAAAATAAAAAAAAAGACCACTAAGTTAGCAATACTGGTCTGATAGTCATTCCCATTCAAGCTCATCATAGTCCTATTATTGATAGACGCTTTTCCTTTTTAATATTGAGGAACGTGGAAATATATGATATGATTGGAGGTAAAAGCAGTCACATATTTAAAACTAATTTGATGGCAAAGGCAAGAAAAATGAAATACATAAGGTAATAGAGATTTTCTTTTTTAAACTTGAGAGCGCAAAAAGAATTAAAGATGTAGAATAAAGTTATTTTGCTTTATCTGGTTTGAATCCCCCCCCTGCTTGACCCATTATGCATGAGGCATCAGGAAGGAACAGGGGGAGAGGACTGGCATGGTTAACGTCTTTTAGAATCTGGTCACTTGAGTCACTTTGCTCATCTATCCCCCATTTGCTTTAAACGTAAGTAATGCCAGCAGAGTCTTTTGCATCATCACCAACATGAATGTCAATATTATTGTTTCCAAACTCATTCACTTTTGTTTGTTTTTTAGACTCCCATGTATTACTGAGCAGAGAGGCAGAGAAGAGCTGGAGTCATTTTGGTCTAGTAACCACATTTCCCTTGTACCGGGAATAACAAAAAACAAACAAACAAAAAAACAAATAAACAAACCATTCATCATCTGGATCCAGCAGACAGGTTTGGTGTTAACCGAAATGAGCTCTCTCTCTCCATTTGCCCGCTCCATTTCCCCAGCCCCTACCACAAGCCCACCCCGCAAATCCTGTGTTAATGTGTGTGTGAAAACGTGTGTATGCAGATCAGAGGACTCTTAAGACATGACACCAAATACAGGGTTGTGGCGACAGATGCTGGGGCCGATCTCCTCATAATCCTTCTTGGTGTGACACACCTGGTAGAACTCAGGCTAGGATGGTGGGGAAGAGCGGGGGAGATAAAAAGATAAGTTGACACGTTACTCGAGAAAAACAATGTGAGTGTAGCCTTGTTTGGTTATGTAATGCGTGTAACTCACTGTTGAGGCCAGCATGGATCCTCCGAACCACACGGCATAGCGCTGCATGTGGTGAGTGATGACCTGCACATCAATGGGCTTCGGCTGCAGAAGAATCAAATGTACACACGTGAATTTATGCTAGAGTACTCTTCATCTCCTCTTTGGCTAGATGATGTTTGAACCCTCTTTCAAACCTTTAATTTTCCCCCGCTGAGCTCCTCGCTGAGTTTCAAACGAGCATCAACAGTTCTCTTCAGATCTCTCTGCAGACGCCGGCCAAAATCGCGGAACATGGTAGACCCTCCTGACAGAACAATGTTCTGCAGAGGAGACACAGAGACACACACGTAAACATAACTCAGTGCATAGCACAATCTATTGCAGCCCAGTTTTTAATTCACCACCTCTCTACATCAGAGATGAGTCTCAAGTCTTGAGACCCAAGTCATTACAGGCAAGTGCTAAGACAAGTCTTTAACATTTAACACCAACAAAGTAATTGTATATTAAATTTACCAACATAATGTTTAAAAATTGTGTCAATTACTCCTCTAAATAAACTATTAAGATGTAACAACTGTAACAGGCATAATTATACCACTAAAAAATAGTGTGTATACATGTTTACACACATAAGTGTAGATAGTCAGCAAGAGTGTACCTGGCAAGATTTGGATAGCTGTGCCACTGCATAGCATATATCAGAAGGTATGTGGGCAGAATGCCTGAGACTAACTGCTTTGGGCTTATAAAAGATTTAGAGCAAGTGTGCACAGCTCCAGTCCTAGACAGCTGGAGTCCAACATAGTTTGGTGATTTACCTGCTCAAACACACCTGCTTACACTTACCTGTTAATTGCCAGTTGTGCACCCCCGATCTAGATTCTTTGAGTCATAAGGCCAATCCAATTCCAAAAATCAAATCACTGGAGTTGAAATTAAAGTGAAAGTGCTAGTGTTTATTGATTTTACTACGTAAAGCCTAAAGTCATCAAATTTGTGACCCAAATCCATGCCTCTGCTCTATATACTTTGGCAAATGTCCAAAATCATGTACAAAATCCAAGAGCACTGTGTCCACAACAGAATATTCTGAAATAAACAGATATTACATTTTTCCAATTGCTCTAGAGCAGAGGCTTCCAACCACTGAGCTGCAGACCAGCACTGGGATGTGGATCATTTGATCGAAAAAACGCAGCAGTGAGCTGGGGGAGTTAGTAGCATAACTGCTGAAATCCAGTGCTGAAATCTTATCAACAATTATGTAATTAACATTATTAAAACAGCATTATTTATTTCTTTGTTTTATTCAAGGTTATGGTTGAAAAGATATTTCTCTGACAAACATGTTTACACATCGTCCACTGAGAAGAAAACAGTAGAAGTAGTAGAAGACAAGTCCTCATAAGCACCCAGCGTTGTGCTGTTAGCTCTAGCAGCTAATCAGCTCATCAGATGCAGTCGCCATTAATTATCAGACACACAAAAAAACACCATCTCCCTTGGCTACTGCTGAATAAATACAGCATGCTGTCAAATGTATTCCTCTGCATGTAGATATTTTTTGCACAACTCCAGTGCTCACCTAAAAAACCAACACCCACATTCATTTTGGCCAAATCCAAATAACCACTCATCAACTCTTACAGATACTTGAATACAAAATTAGTAGAATGCACATCCTTTGTTAACACAGTGCTAACATGCACAAAGAAAGTAATACTCTGTGTGTTACCTTATAGAGAGGACGACGCACATCAATGGGACAGTTCTGGATAACCTCATCCACCACTTCTGAGATTGGCTGGGTGAAGTCTGGATTGGCAAACTGTGAGACAGAAACAGTGAAATGCTTCATAAAGAACGTGTGTTGTGTTGATGCTGCAACATATGAATTTGCTTTCCTGTGCATGCTGTTTATGTGTGACAGCAGAAACAGACCTCAGGGTGAAAGAATATCTCTGGGCCAAGGAAGCGCTCGTATCCAACATCAATGGTGAACTCTTTCTTGCTGATGGCGTTGATGCCAGTGTACTGCTTTATCCATTTTGAGCCATCTGTGTCGTACTTATTAAACTCCTTCACCAGGTCAGGACACACGTAACTGAAACGCTCCTGCAGACAGAATGCGCATGCATCGACACATTATTTGAGTGCATTTTAAGAATTACTTTCAAGACTATCCTCTACATTTTCCCTCCTGCACATCACTGAAAGACTATGTCAGAACAAATAGCTTATCTCTGAGCAACGAAGCCAGAATATTACTCAGGTTCTTTATGCTAAACAGCTTCATTATGTGAAACTGAGCGAGACTAAGCTCAGCCAAGTTAGGCTCAGACCGTCTCCCGACTGCATGCAAAGAAGGAAAGAAATTACACACAAAACTGTAGGATATAGGAAAGACACACATCCCACTCCTTACCATCAGACTTCAGAGTTCATCAAGCACTTAGACTTTATTCTATATCTGAAGAAAGGCCCTATTACTGTGTTTTAGTTGCATAAAAAAAATAAAAAAAAAAAACAGGTGCTGGTTTGAGCACCCTGAATGACATATGACCTACTTTGTGTCGGATTCATGAAGCTGTAGTACAGTGTCAAAACAAGTGGTGATTTGAGTGCAACTGATCAATCAGCTTCAATGTGTGAAGTTAATTCACATATCGCGTTTGTGAAGGACACGCCCTAAATTGCCCTCACATGTACATTTTTATAAAATATTCCCTAATTCAGATGTTTCAGAGATGGTTCAACTGTACAAGCAGTACAAAGCAATGTCTTTAACTAGAGAGTAAATAGTTGCAATATTTATTTATAGAGTGCAAAAAAACAAGCAAACAAAAAAAGTACCAACATTGTAGTACAAGGACTGACCTGTGGATAATTGTTAGTGTCAATTTTTAATTTTTGTTATTAGCAATGTAAAAAACAAAATTAATTTTTACGCTAGTTAATTAAATTCAATGTAAAAAAAGAATGTTACACTTATATGTACACGCATTGCTACAAGACGTACGTTTGATCATACATACATGCCAAAAATCAAACTGAGGAATTACAAAATTGAAAATGATGTACGCAATTTTTACATGATCATATTCAAAAATGCAGCTTTAATGAATAAGTGCCAATGAATAACCTTCTTCTGCATTCTCATTCAAGATTTCTTCACTAGTTTACACAATGCCACAACAGCTGCTATATGTTAGAGACAAGGATATACATAGCATAGATAAATATTAAATCATTATTTTGACAAAGGCAAGAGTGACATTTCGTACTACCTCCCAGTGGGCCTCCAACCAGAACTAACAAGACTCAACAAGACCTTGAACTCTGTTCACACAAATAAACTCTCTCTTTATCTCTCTCTCTCTCTCACTCACACATACACATACATTATATATATATATATATATATATACACACACACACACACACACACACACACATGCTCACACACACATGCACGTACCTTGACAGCTTTAGCAGTCTCTAGGGACTGCTCAGGTGGAATGCCCACCTCTCTCTCCCTCAACAACTGCTGTGTGAAGTAGGTGATGTCTCTCCCTGCAATGGGGATGTGCTTTATACAGCTGCCAATCACATAGCCTTCCGCCTAACAGACATCATCAAAAAAACATAAAAAAAGCAAAACAGCTTACTCAACCAATTACATGCATAATTACAAGAATCCTCACCTAAACCAATAGTTTCAGTGTTTCACTGCCCACATTTATTAGGTTCGTCCACATAAAATTCTGTACTTTTTTTTTTTTTTGACCCTTCATACATTTTAGTCTATTTGTTTGGGACTCACCACAGGGATGACGTGGGTGACTCCATCTCCGCTGTCAATGACCGTACCAGTTAGGGTCCTCTCTCCAACCTGCCGAGAGGTCCAGGATGCTGCTAGAGCCAAGACTGCCTGCAAACAAGCACAAGAAACACATCACACTAATAAGAAAACCAGAACTACAGTAAATAACTGGCATACATGACTGGACCACAACAGAAACTTTTTTGTGTGTATACCTGCACGGCGATGTACAATCCTGGCACGTTGAAGGACTCAAACATAATCTCTGCTGTGTATTCACGATTCTCTGGTGTGTTCAGAGGTGGCTCGGTCTGTAGCAGAATCATCATCATCATCATCATCATCATGTATGCACTCAGATATATAAATACAGGTGCGAATTGAGAACTGCATCACTCACCAGTAGGAAGTAATGGTCCTCAGGCTCTGCCCTCAGATACTTAAAGATGACCTGCTCCATGAACCTCTCCATTAGATCCCAGTCCTCTACGATACCATGCCTAATCGGCCACTTCATGTAGAAACAGAGACAGGTTATGACTTAGCTTTGAGTTAAGTATGTCACATTTATATTCCAATGAGTGCTTATGTTCAGAGCTCAGCACTGCATGCTGTTGTTCTGCGTGCAGTTATACTGCACTATTCCACACACAGTAGAAATGTGGATGTGTGCTGAATAATCACCTTGGTGGCATAAGTGGGCTTGTCAATTGCTTCATCTCCGATGAAGAAGTCAAGGTCGTCCACGCCCTTCATCATCCTCCTTTGGGCTTGATCACCCACCTTGGCTGATTCTTTGATGGCAATGCCTGAACAACAGCAAAGGATGATTAGAAATGAGGGCACTTACGCCCACTATACTTCAGTGTGAATTAAACTAGCAAACCAAAACTAACAAAGCCCCAGAACAAGTGTGACTTCAGAAATTCTCTTTCACCTCAGGTTGAGACAGACTCAACCCTGTTGCTTTCAGACCTCAAGATATTGCAATACATTCAGAAACTAATTAGTATAACAATTCCATGCAGTGACTGAAAATGTGAAAAGGTTCAGTCCATAGCTTTATGAAGGGAAATATTTCCTTCAACACAAAGAGCCTCTTAATCCTGGTCTTGGAGTAGGGGTGGGCAATAAGGATGCACAATTGGAATCAGCCAGCATCAGAATTGACACATTTTGCCCAAAACACAAATCACCTGTGCTGTATTTGAATGTTGTTGTTACACCTGTACCAAAACTTTGTAACATAATTATGCACGATTGGGCTTAATAGCCAGCTGCCTCTTACTTTTGATTTAGCAGTTAGTTTTTCATTCATGTTATTTAAATATGGAACCAAATTAAAATTTTAAAAATTAAACTGCCAGCTTGGCTGATGAAAGTACTGGAAATGTGCTGGTATGTTTCATGTGTTCATTTAGCCCACACAGCGTGAGCTTCAGATTTTAAAAAAGACAGATCAAAACTGGCCAAAAAAATCTGCCATAGACCAATCTGGCTGTAAAGAAATCAGAATCGGCCAAAAAATTATGATTGGTGCATCCCTGGTGGGCAATATGGTAAACATATATTATCATGATATTCAAAGAGGCTTTCACAATAAATGCTATGTATCACAATATGTCCACATTTTGCTACTGGTAAAAAAGCTTTTTTTGTTTGTTTGTAAGTTTAATAAGACACACAATGCACTGGCAAAACAGTATTAATTAACTAATTTAAAAAATGCTATCATAAATGTTATGGTCTTTTGATTGAAATATGCATTTGACCCATGCTCTTTTAGTACAGATGATGTCCATTATACGTTCAGAAAAAAGCACTGACATATTATGTTGCGATCATCATGAGTTATCATGCTGCCCACCTCTATATCCTGGAGAACCACTGCCCTGCACATTTCAGAGTTTTGATTAAAAACTTTAAATCAATTCAGACTCAGAGTTTCAGATGGATGTACTTACATGATGGAATGATGAACTGAGGCTCTGTGTTTCCTGCATATCCAAGTTTAGTATACCTGAAACACAGAAAGACAAGACAAAACTTTGAGCTAAACAGTTCAGACAACCACACCCACACAAATACAGAATAACTTCCGTGCCACATTCACCAGATTACAAACATATGCAGAACACAGCTTTTCCAAAAATGCACACTAACACTGTTACACTGCATAACATTATACTGCTCACAATTTATACTAAAACAGCTCTATACCAGCTATTGGTATGAGGTTGGAGGAGTGAGGAGGATTTGAATACTGTTCGCTTAAATTTTGTCAGAGCCACTTTTCATTTAACTGTCCAGTACTTTCATTCAGTTTACCAGCCATGAAACTAAACACAGAACTCCAGAGGGTCTTTAATTTCAGCTTTGAAACAATAAACCAGAACCACCCAAAATGCTCTCAATATCTGGTGAAGGAAAACACCGATTTTCACAGAAACAAAAATAACCTCCATATTGTCTACACAAAAGTTTTTTTTTTTATTGTTGTACTATAAATGTGACAAACTGCATAATTAACAAATTGCTTTTCCATTTTTACTCTTCTGTGTTCTTAGCCTAAGATTTCTTGTTCAGAATCATTTTGAGAGTGTTTACTCTCAAAATATTTCAATAAGTAAGATCATTCTTCAAGGGTTCATTTTATGCTCAAATGGTTCTTTGCATGATGAAATGTTTCTTCAGATTGATGGAGAATGTGTGGTGTATGGTTCTATATAGAACCTATTTGAAAATGGCTCTATATAGCACCAAAAAGCGTTGTTACGTTGTCAAGCCTGTAACAACAGAAGAACCCTATTTGGTGCTACATCCATTCATTACCAAAAAGGTTCCAAATTGAACTGTATACAACACATTCTCCATCAATCTGAAGAACCATTTAATCATTAAATGTCTTTGTATAGAACTTTTGGTGTAACTTCATTAAATGTAACTCCATTAAAAATCATTACCCTACATGATCTTGTCCATGCCATTTATTTTCTATTAATGTCCATTTAATATGGATGAATGATATTAACTACAAACTGTTTTGGGCAATTTAACATTTACCACGAGTAGCTGTTGGCCACATTGTCGATGAGATGCTGATAGCAGCATTGTGGACTCTAGTAAAGGTGGGCAGTATAGCAAAAATGTCATGACACTTTGAGAAGTTTTCCCCAAATAGATAATGTCACAATATTTGTTTTTTTCTGATATCTGATAAGTTGGAACAGAAAAAGTAATGCCACATTGAAAAACTAATCTATGAAACAAAGATTTGGACTCAACATTTCACATACTGCGCTACACTAAATCCAATATATATGCTATTCTGAGGGTATCATGCATATTGTTAGTAACCAAAAAAAACCTTCCCAACTTAATAAAACTAACAAACTAACAATATCCAAGATACACTCAGAATAGCATATAGTGACATACTATGTAGTTTATCATAATACTGACATATTGGAAAGGGAAATATTGGACATAGGGAAAAAAGGGCATCAGGCCACAATTCCTATATCCTAAAGCACAGGAATATGGTAGTAAATTCTTCATGTGATGCTCAGTTTGAAAGGTTACAGTTAGAGGTGGGGAAAGTAGTATAGCACAATACTTAGACATTTTCACAAAATACGACATCATGAGATTTTGAGACACACAGACAGAACAGACTCATTTAAAAACTGCCATGAAAAACTATAAATACAACAACTATTATTCAACATTTCACATACTTTGCTGCACTAAATTCAATTAAAGAGGACTAATTATGATATAAAATATGCTTATAAAAGCATACTATATATCACAATAACAAAAATGATCAAAATAATGATAAAATATTGACACATTGCCCACAGGCCTAAAGACAGTGATGAGGCTGAGTTAATCAGTGAGCAATGACAACTGAAATCAATGCATTTCATTCAACAACCAATGACACAATTGATCATTTGTTGATTTATTACCAAGCTCAAGCTCAAACTCAGCTGTGGTAATAACAGTTTGTTATAAAACAAACCTCAAGACTTCTGCATGTTTGAAAGTGTGACTAAGTTTTTTTGTGTGTAGGCATATTTTAGCTGTGATTACAGAATCGTCTGAGCATAAAACAGCCAACCACACCTGACAAGCTGCAAACACACCTTACAGAAAGGCAGTCTGGCTGATTTCCCAGTCCAGTTTAAGAGAACATGTGGAAAAGCTGATCTCAAACAAGTGATATGAGAAGTACATTTCTCCTGTTATCAAAATGCATTTGCATTCAAAAGGTCTGGGAGGTATGTTCAAGTTATCACAACTTGACCTGTCAGACAACAATTCTCTTGAATCATGTAAAAAAGGATAGAACTGAAGAACTATCATATGGGCTCATGTTCATGTTCATACAAAATACATCTGCATTGTGTAGGTACGTTTGGGACACTGTACTAAATACTTTTATGGCAAACGTCTATGCTTCAGATAAGATCCACACCATAACAATCAAGTCCAGTGGCTGTCACACACACAACCAAGCTCCACCTACAAACTGTATTGCCAGATAACAAAAGAAAAATAAAACAGAAGCATACTGTAGCTCTGAGAACAGGAGCTGCTGAGGGAAGTAGAAGCTGTCTTAACATAATGTGGGTTCGATGTCTCCATTGCGTTATGAGTTATAAAAAGCAGTGCTGCAGACTAAGCAGAGAAGTGCAGGTCAAAGAGAGGATGTGAGGCTTTCACACATCTCATTTTGACTTATGCATGCGTGCACACACACACACACACACACACACACACACACACATCTGCACCAAAGAACAGCCCACTCTTCCTCATCCATGCTTAGAACAGATGCTTGTAATGGCTCAAAGCAAGAGGGCGGAGGGAAAGGTATGCAGTGTGGAATGTTCAAGTCTCTACACGCTAACACTTCAGAGACACCAGCCTCAACCAAACCAAGTATATGTCCAGCATACAGTGCCATGTTTAACAGCAAGCGATGTAACACAATGAAAGAGGTGTTTTCATTCAGAAACCTAATTGAGATGTGCAAAAAGTGTATGTGGGGAGGGCTTCCATTCGAAGAGCCTGGAGAATAGATAAAGATTAATGTTGTGCAAATGCATATGGGGATGTGTGTGTGTGTGTGTGTGTGTGTGTGTGTGTGTGTGTGTGTGTGTGTGTGTGTGTGTGCGTCAGAGAGAAAGAGCATAGAGGAAAAGGAAAAAAGGGAGGGAAAATACAGGTCTTTTCAAAGGAGATGTATACAGTACCACTCAAACTGTCACCTCAGTGACGGTAAACACTTCTTTTCTGAACAGCTACTGTTAAAAGATAGCACTAGAAGTTAAATGTCTCCATGCTGTCAATGAGAACATAAGGCGGAGTATATAAGCTTAAGGTTTTTATAATACAGAGTCTATTTATGCTGTGATAAGGCTGCTTTCAGGTTTCTAAATTATAGTGTGTATTCATGTATTCATGTTGTGAGGAGGCTGAATGTGTAAGGCTAAATATATAAGGCTGCTTTAAGGTTTGTGCAATACCGTGTTTATTCATGCTGTAATAAGGCTGAGCATATTAAGGTTACTTTAAGGTTTTATAGTACAGTGTTAATTCGTGCCGAGTCTACAAGGCTGAGCATATAAAGTTATTGTCTGGTTTGTGTAACACCGTGTTTATTCGTGCTCTGGGGGGTGAGGATATGATTTAGGGTTTGTATAATACAGTCCTTGTTCCTCCTGTGAGGAGCTGGACAGCCACAACGAAGCGCCAAGTTCTGACGCCCAGCTGCCGCTTCAGAAACATTACAAAGATAGTTATGAACACAGCCACAGAATCGATGCGAAAATCACGAATCAAATACACCGCGATGCCACAGGGCAGAATAAAACACAGCTAACATTACTAAATGCCCGTTCAATCGTCGAACACGACCATATATGGAGCAAAAAGCGAGAAGCAGGAAGCGGCTCGGACTGTCAGTAAAATTAGGAAGTTGAAATGCGCATGCTCAGATCGGGGCTCACCAGAATGAGTTTTGCAGAATTTAGCATCCATTAACACTTTTAAGACCAGCTTGGCGTAATATTAACACAGCAATGTGCACCATGTGTCTACAGTCACAGTATTTAATCCTGTGTGCATGGTCGGAGTCAGAGGGAGTGGGGCATTTTCTGAAATGCAGACAGCTAGCCAATGAAAGCAAAATCTGGGCTTCACAGCAAAGCACACACAGCCACCACCCAACCTCAAGATCCCTCATTTTTCAACAATCAGCCGAATTCTGCGCATAATTTTAAAGTCAAATCAAAGTCAGAAGAGGGAGACGAAGAAAAGCAGACTTAAACAGGCATATTTAGCGGATTTCTGTGCTGAAATAGCTGATGGAGCACACACATACACACACACACCCCACAGCTGCTGCTGCCAGTGTAGAGACGGGTGGAAAACACTCACCCTGTACCGCAGTCCACAACGCACGCCGGCAACCGCCCAGCCATTTCTGCTCTCTGCGCTGGTTTTGTTACTGATACTGACTCTTTCTGAGGACAGAAAGCAGGAGTGTGAGGTAAGTGGCGAATCTAAAGGCGGAACCCTTAAGTTTTCAGCCACTTCCGCACTCGGTCGGCACACAGCAGAGAGAAAATGGCCGCCGCCGGTGAGGAGGGGTTGGGGGGACGAGCTACGCATGCGCACTGAGGCTTACAAGAGAGCGGTTACTGAAATGTAACGCAGTATAAATCCATTGCTTTTTAAAAGCTTTTCAGTTTTAATAAAATCCTAAATAGTTTTCTTTTTTGTTTTTGTTCTTTTTTCCTCTGTTGATGTTTTACAAAAGAATTTAGTTTGATATGTGAATGTAGAGCTTTAATGTATCCTACTCTTATTCTGTCATTGTATATAAGAAAATAGTACAACACAGCACACATACAATGCAAAGTATATACATGTACTACATTCTGATTTACTTTCACTTTCTTACTTTAACAAGCTGAAATTGGAGTTGCATTCTTATTCAGCCAACACGTCTTTAATACCGACTTCATTTAACCTTTCAATTGTAGAATTAGTATTTTCTACTGTACGTTTTACTATAAATACAGTAGATAAAATGCTAGAAATCTTACCATGAACACTACAAAACATTGTTTTATACAAAACACATTTTTTGTGTAGTAAAATGTATATAATTAATAAGTTGACTACTTCATGTAATACAAATTTGAAATATTTTGTTCTATTTTATATTATCTATTATCTTATAGGCAGGACCTACAAGTTTTTCTACTTCGTAAACATGCAGAACATCTGGAACACTGAAGTGTAAATAATTAATTTTACATGAAGTGCAGCAAACATTTTAACTAAACAGAAATATTATAAAACTTCGTTTTTTCCTCCTCCACAGCAGCAGTCTGTCTGGAAAACGTGAAATCGACTGAAAATTTGTGTCACGCCAAACTTTAATTGAGTCTGACGTTGTCTATTGCATTCTGGGAGAATGAGTGTTTCTACGTAAGATTCAGCATATAACTCAAACGACACGTTCAAGCACTGAAACTACAAGTACCAGAATACATAAAATATAAATGAAGTCATGAGCAGGAGACGGAGCACGTAAAAGTCATGTAAATATTTACAGCACGGTCAAGTTGTCATCCGTTTTTAAGAGAAGGGCCGCTGTTAAGTAGGCTTTCTAATGCATGAAAACCACAGACTGTATGAAGCCTAAGGATTTCAAGACCTCGACAACCGAAGCAGGTAATGTAGCTATTTTGGGATACATACTGTATCTTTGGCTTGCTATCACTATCTAAATAAGCTGGCTTTCAGTCGGTGACCCAGCCTTCTGTGAGCACTGCTGGTCCTGATTTTTAAAGCACATTTGATTTTAACGAAATGTGTTCAAACCACGGTCATATGTTGGCGAATTAACTGAATAAAGGCGAAGCTCAAGTCAGCTTGTTATTCTTCAGCGTCTAGTTTGAATTTTCACGTTCCTCCTTAAATGGTGCCGCTGTTAAGTTAGCTACATTCGGACGCCTGAGTGGAGCCTAAGAATATGCTGCACCATTTAAGGTGGAACGGGTAAATTCTCACAAGAAGCTGGCGAATAGGAAGTTGACCTCAGCCTCGTCAAATAGAGCGATATTTTGGCGGTGAGTAGGGATGTGAGAAATGTCCCTCTCAGTTAATGGCTATATAATAAACAATAATAACTTCACAATATGACAGGATGTCATAATCTCGGTATATGAAACGACATACAATCCATCTCCACACTGAGGCTGCGTCCAAAATCGCATAACGTTAGCTGCCATACAGAACAGTACACATCAACAGTAGTGCCTTGCCTTGCCTTTCAGTAGTGTAGTGTGTATAGTATGGTAGTGTGAGTTTTGTTCTTGGGGAGAAATATAAATATACTCAGCACTGACCTACTGGCTTAGAGCTATAATAGCTCTAATTACACGAAGGCCCACTTAAGTCCCCTTTTGAAAAGGACTGTTTACATATCAGAAAATGTTTCTTTATTGCATTGTTTTATAGGCTATCAAAAATAATACCTATTCTCATTGAGTATAGGAGACCCAGAGAAATCACTAGAAAAAAACAAGATGAAAAAGTGTGACTTAAACTACTCGCTCATATATCTCTCTCATATCTACTTGTGTTCAGCACCTGGTGTTCTTCTAGTATTATATGCTGTAGTTTAATATGGTTAAAATCTCTTTATGTTTAAACATGTTTGATTTATAAAAATCATTCTTTGACATTTCTTTTTGTATTTTGTTTCTTCTTTCTGAACAATCCAGTCTGTCAAGTGCAAAATTTTGCCTTATGTCTTCTCTGTAGTGATGCATGCTTTCTGCTACAGCGTAGAGAGAGAGGCTGGCCGAGGCAGTGTTTTCCATTTCTAATGCGCCCAGCACGGTGAGGTCATTTACTTGGTCACTAGTGTTGGTTTACTGCACACTACAACACATACAACTAAACCACATGTGAGTAATGCCTTACCTCCTATGCACATGTGTTTAGGATGAGTTGGGGGGTATGTGGTGCCCAGAAGGGGAGGCTGGTGCTGGGTGTGGTCATCCTGCTGCTTGTGGACGTAATCTGGGTCGCTTCATCTGAGCTAACTGCAGTAAGATCTATGCACACATAGATAAACATGCCATTTTTATTAAATTTTTCTGTCACACACACTTACACATTTGGATTATAGTATATGTTTTTCTTGTTTTGTTGAAATATGAGTTTTATGTAGTATGTAAATGTTACGGAGTTTCAAAATGTACCCAATCCATACAGTCCATATAAGGAAAATGGGCTGCAAGACCAGCTGAAGTCACATTGACTGCATTCAGCATTCTGCATTAGCCCATCAATTCCTGTTGAAGTGAAAAGAAGTGTTGTTACTGCAGAAAATCTATATAAGAGTTATTGGTGCAGAAAATATAGGAAAAACAGTTAAACACTATGCCTCTCCTGTATCACTGCAACTTTCCAAAGTGTTCAGATATACAAAGAATGGCTGAATTATTTTTATTCGGAAGTCTATGTGGAATTTGGTCTGAACTTAACAATTTGTTCTGTAGATTTCAGCTAGAACTTTTGAATGTAATGTGTCTTATTTTACGTTTTGAGCGTCAGCCAATCAGGATAGGTTTTATTTATATATGTCAGTCTCAAAGGCAGAGTAACAACTTGTTTAATTGTAAGGGATGAAAAATGTTGAAAAATAGTCATGTAAGAATATTTACATAAATGTATACATAAAACAACAACTGCAATAATTGGATTTAAGAGGAGAAAAAGAAAAATGAAAAGGAGATTTTTAACTTATTGTTTGTGAATGCATTGTTGGAAGTATATGTATATCTCTCTGTGGTTGTGTGTGTGTGTGTGTCAGTATATCTTTGTTCAGCAGCAGTACAGTAAGCCTTTTTTCAGCACGTTTGTGAAGACCTCCATGTTCGTGTTGTATTTACTTGGCTTTCTCTTCTGGAGACCATGGAGACAACAGTGTGCAGCACGTTACCAGCAACAGAACAGCAACCTTGTAAGTCCTGCTGCTGTCTTGGTTTTGTTGTTTAAAACTTGTAAGTTTAACATGCATTCACACCTAATGGGGTGGTTTCACCTAATAAGATTTTTACATTTCTCTAATGTCTAAAACAGTTCTGCCATGTGTGCGTTTCTGGATCCGCACTGGCCAGCCAAAGAAACATCTGTACAAAAACAGCTTGTTCACAACAAAATGAAGAGTTATGGATAATACTGGGTGCCCTAGTCACATGAAAAAATGATATTTTACAAGCTGTTTATCAGGGCAGTAGGAGTGCATTTGTTCAGAAAAGCACTACAATTAGAATAAATATTAAGTATCATATAAAATTATGTATGTCAGTGTTTGTTTAACCATTTCCTGTTTGCTCCTCGAGGGAGCTCAGTATTACTAGCTTACAAGATATCAACTTCTTTTGAAAGCAAGAAATTCTTGTTAGTTTTTACTGCATTACTATTTGTATTTATTCTAATGTTATATGGTGTTTTACAAGCAGAAAGACACTTACTGCCCAAATAAATGGTTTTAAACATTTTGCTTAAGTGCCTAAGACATTTACTTGTATTTAACTTGTTCTGTATTTAGATATTCACCAGTTTATTCTCATAGTTATTTTTAAATATATCTCATTAGTCTAATTGGTGTTCACTTATTTCACTGCAACTATGTTAGTGACCTGCTTTATGCCATGTTAGTGCAACCATCTCCTAGTCTTTTGTACTGTTCATGTGGCATGGTGTCACAGCGTTGTTATATAAAATAAATGGGATGGTATAGCAACATCTGAATGATAGCACTGCTGTTTGATTTGTTTTTTTTCAGACTCCTGATACTGATTCATATTTAACTAGTGGTGGAACTGCAAGCAGCTTTAACAACTCCTTAGTGAGTATACACTCTCAGAATGAAATGCATACTGTGTGCTTTGTAGACAGGAACACAGTTCAACCACAGCTCTTACCTTCTAAAGTGGACTGTAATATGTTGTTGTCTGTAATTTACTTGTTAGTACACATGATTGCAGAAACCCAGTTGTGGAAGAGCCCCAACTTCAAAGAGATAAACGACAAACTTGAATGGGGTCAAAAAAACTAATATCTACCACAGGATCACTCTATTCATACTACGGAAATAAAAAAAGTCCACAAACATGCCACATGTGGCCTTATATGCACCAATAACACAATGTGACATATGGGCTTTTTACATGGTTTACGATAACAAGCCCCATAAATGTTAACCCCAATTACATTGTGAGATTCTGGGAAACTAGGAAAGCCAGTTAAGCATACTGACTGAGATAGCTGTTGTCTGTGTATAAGCGGTGTGTTTATGGGGGCAATAATAGGACTTTGTTATTTTCTAATCTACATGTACCCAAGCCTTCATGTGCTCTGTGTGCGTGGTATCACTTTTTCTCTTCTTATAAATACTGAAACCTTGAGTAACAGCTGATACCAACACCAATGAATTTTTTCTTAAAAGTCTACTAATCTTTCAAATGAAACTATTTGTAATTGAAGGGGTTCATCCAAAAGTAATACACTTAAACAGCTCAAACACTGTACTACCCTATTGGTACAAACACATAGTCAACA